TAACAGAACCTTAAATCGAGGTAAGGCTAGGCCTAGCCTAGCAGCATTGGATAGGCTAATGTTTTCGGCGCCTACGATATTTCTTCTCACGACCTATCGCAAAATCAACATGAAAAATTCATCCGCATTTATTTTTTGTATGGAACACAAAAAAAATCAAATTTCAGTCTTATTTTACATTATTTTCATTCTTAGGAATGTCTAAATTCATTTAAACTAGCAATTCCATATTATATTTATAAATCTTTATAACATTATACAAAAATTAGATTTTGCCAGGAAACTGAAATTTTGCCAGGAATGGGGCTTTAATGTAAAGCACCAAGACGGATTTGAGTTCTATAAGGTGTTATACAAATACGGTTTTATTACTATTATTATCATTATAATAATATCATTATCATTGTCATTATTATTATTATTATAATTACAGCAAACAATTATTTGTGAATTATTATTAATTATTTTTGTACAAGATTAGCAAATATGCAGTAGTTATAAACATATTTGTAAAAATTCATCCACTGCTTCACCTGTGACCATAAAATCATTCTACAAAGTTGTTACAATTTCCAAAGCTAAATATACATTGTAATTATTATTATTAACAGTTGCATTATAAGTTGATTTTTAAATTGTAATTATAAAGTGAAAAGCAATGAATTTTGATTTTGAGTCTGGAAAGAAGTACTTGGTTTATGCCTCTAAGTGATGGAGAAGTGCACTTCATAAGATAACATGATTATTATTGTTAATTGTGATCTTGCTCTATATATATTACGCTAAAATAGCCATTGTACTGACAAAGGGATTTAACCTCGCCTAATTCCTCCCATTTCAAAAACAGTATGCGATATCTTTAATCACAAGCCTTGAGAAAGATGTCATGAACATTGGCCAACTAATAATTATAATGGATCTCTGTCGTGGTTTAATTTAACTCCAAATTGCTTTCACTACTTTGGCGGCAAGGTGACGAACCTGATGCTTGAGGTTAAGATCAAGCACTGGGGCGCTTCTGTCGACTGATTTGATACGCTTGAGTTGTTTTCGCTTGTTGAACGTCTCCAGACTGTGTTTCAGTGCTTCGTGTTGCCGGAGATCTGCGTCGTTGAAGGCTTGGAACAGTTGAGACATGCTTACCTTCTTAACAGGAGAACCTGGGACTGAGATACAAATAAAAAAAAAGATGAGTGAAAGTGTTGGATAAATAACAAGGGAGAAAAAGAGAATAGGTTTCACCTCCGCCAATTAGACGTGACTCTTCGACCCAAAACAATTTCATGTTTTAATTCATAAAATATTGTTTTGGGTAAAATACATTCTAAAACACCTCAGAACAGCTTAAAATATCCTAAAATTGCCTAGTTTCCGACCCAACCAAGATTTCCCCCTGGACCACATTGGGATTTAATAGTCATACCCCCTGTCAAACAAGTTAGACCCCACGCCTCCCCCATTCAATCTAAGAGACAGCTCATCAGTTCATCACGGAATCTGTGTGATATTGCTAATAATAAAACATAACACAATAAAAAAAAAAGTCATTATAACTGTAATGACAAACATAATTCCTGCAGAAAATATCCAATAATTGAATATAGATATATATAGAATAAAAATAAAGGCATGTCAAAATCGACGAGTAAAACTGATGTGTTTGAATTAAATAATGCCAAAAGCACATACTGGTGAAATCCATTCACCAACAGAGGCTGTTGAGGGATTAATGACTTTTGGAGACACGGACTAGCATATTTTCTGATTTTGATTTGCATATATTTTAACAATCATAAATCATTAGATTGTGAGATGGCTTCAAAACATGCTGTAATCTGTGTCAAGTAAAATATGAAATACCGGATATTTTGAAGTTTTCAACAGAAGTAATCAAATAATACTGTCTTAATCTTTAATTATTAAGATTGATTTTTGTACTTGTCTTTCGAATGAGACCTGAGAATTTCCAATTTTGTCTGTTTACATTCAATTATCAAAATTGATTTTATTAATAGCATTTTTCTAAGTGAATATATTTATTATAATATCTAAACTATACATCTCTCATGAGCCATAGACTCTTGAACCATATCATCAGCAACCCAGTCTCAAAAGAATATGCATCAGGAAAACGTGGAGAAGGATATATATTTAAATCAGATTTATTTAAAAAATATATATATATTATAAATTTGTATATTTATTTATTTAATGCATTTAATTTTTGCCATAGTATCCATTTAATAATAATTTTAAAAAAAGCACAATGGTAACAGCAATAATATTAAATAAAAAAAATACTAATAAAATAACAATAGTAAAATAATGAAAAATATGGCAGTCTCTATTACATTTTGCGCAGATGTAGAAAGAGTGCTGTTTGGAGAGAGTTTCCACAGCGCGCTTCCTTTAATGTCCATAAATAGACACTAAAATACTAATTACGATGGCAAAATAAAGTAATTAATTATGAATTGAAAAATACTGAATTGCAGTTGTGGTAAACTTGCTAAATATATTATTAATTAAAGGGGTTTTACAGAGCCTTTTGTCTAAAGATACGATTATCTAGATATTGGAAGATGATGATGATGATGTTTATGATGATGATGATTTTAATGATGAAGATGGTGGTGGTGGTGATGATGATGACAATAATAATGATTATGATGATGATAATGGAATGATGTTGATCATAACACAGAGATTATGGTGATGGTCATAATGATGCTGATGATAAGGACAATAATGATGATGATGATAATGATGATTATGATTATTAGTGGTTTAATGATGACTTGGTAAAGGCACAGCCCCAAGAATGAGAAAAATTGGCCTGACATGGCTAGAAAAAATAATATAGATTTTCTAATACAGGTATTACGAAAATACTAATATTTTGCATGTAATTTACCTAAGGTGGTTGGTCGACTAGTGACATGTGACATTACTTGCGCTTCTTGGTAGCTTTCACTGGCTTTCTTCAGAATCGTTGTAACTTCGCTGTTCTAAAAATAAAAATTTGTTGATTACTCGATGTGAACTAATGTATTTCTGTGTAACCACAAATCTGTTGCTAGCAATTATAAACTGAAATGGCATGGTTACATCAAGTCTGATAGTACAGCAAAATACATTAACATTTGAAAAATGTGCAATGAATGAAATTACTGAGTTAGTTTCATTGCACCACACAGCCGTCCCATGGCAAAACAACGTAACTGCTTTTATATTTTAAGTTAAGTTATGTTGTTTTGCCTTGGAGTGGCTGCACAAATGTTTGTGAAAAAACATACTGTATATTTTCGCATATAATGACCAGGCTTAAGATATCAAATTAAGATTGAAAATCAGGCAGTCGTCTTATACGTGGCTGGCTCTGGCAAAACCTCCCATTTGTCGCAATTACTAATTTCACACAAGTCCCCAAAACATTTTGAGTATTAGAATTTTAAACATTTTCAGGATTTTTTTTTCATTTTATAACAGAAGATATGTAAGAACATTTCTGCAAAATATTAATCATTAAATCTAAATGAAAAGTATATTAAAGTTATTTCTAAATACAAATCTTAATATTAAACTATTGTCTTTGGAGACTGTTTTCTCAAAACCTACATGGCTGATATTCAATTATGAATTAAATATTCATAACTTTGCTAATACTCAACCAATTCACATAAAATAAACACTGTTTTAAATAAGGATTCATACAGCCTGGAAACACCAAAACCTAAATTTTGACTTTTCCCTACAAATCGGCTGTTAAAATATAAGTATAAAACTAGTATAAGAAGAGGCTTAAAAATAGCTAATTACAAACAAAAATCTAGGGGTCATCTTATATGCAATACATAGACATTTCTTATTTTGAAATCATGTTCGTCTTATGTGCGGATCGTCTGTAAAACGCAAATTTACTACTGAGATGAAGCTACTGTCGGTATAAATAAGCGCAATTTTTAAATGAGATTTTAATGCCCATAATAATGGTACTTTTTGGAAGGTTAGCTCTACATTTGGCTCTATTTTTTGCCAGCTAGATGCTTACAAGACCATAAAGAACATCAAAAAGTAGGAATTCTCACGGTGAAATGGGGGGGGGGGGGGGGGGTGGGGGCTCATCTTTTATATGCTTGATATTTCAAAAATTATGCAAAAATCTCCTCAAACTCAGGGGCCGTCTAATACCTGGATCGCATTAACGCAAGAATATACGGTATATATATGTACATATGTATGAATATAAAATAACAACCATAACACTAAGTTCCAAAGTGTACATGAACAGTGTCTTACAACCTCTCTTTGGAGACAAATAGTTTTTTTTTCTCTTTTACATGGCAGATGGTTAACAATAACTTCTCCCTGCATACAAAATTAGCTAAGAGAATACAGTCTAGTCTAAAAGACTTTAGAATATTTAAAAAACATACAGATGTGACCTAAACAGAAGGATTTCAATGGCTTTTCATTTGTTTGTATAAATAGTCATTTGACTTGCCACAAGTTCCTTTATTAGCGCCACCAATGAGTAAGTTAGTTGAGAGATGGAAGAAAAGAAATCAAGTATGGGACGCCAATTAAATTAGGTGTGGCATGCACTAAGCGCAATAAAAAAGTAACCCAAATACTATAGACTATGTTAGCCAGGCTAACATAGTCTATTTGAAGAGTACAGATAGAACAAGAGAGGCTAGTAGTACGTTTGTTGAGAGCGTAAACAAATGATACGCCATACACAGCCGGTGGAGGATGCACGTTGCCGTTTGTATGTTCTTTATTACCCAGTACTGCACCGCATGTTTCTCTGTTAGATCACCAGAGGACGTTAGAATCACTTTATTTTTCTTTATCATCATACCACTTTCTGTATAATCATTCATAGTGGGCAAACTCGATAGTGACGACGACTTCGTTTGTAACTAGGGGAGTGTTGATTTACCAACAGGACTTATGCTCTCTTGTTTTATCTATACTCTTTGATAGTACCCACTGAATGAAGCTGGTCATTCACCCTAGGGAAATGGCAACTGATATCATATTATGATAAGTCCCCAGGATACTGTTTCAACATAAATGAATGCTATCGAATAGTTTAATTAGCTAACAAAAATAAAAGTTTACGAACTCTAAAGGCTCTTAGTTCATGATTACCTCAGGTTATTTAAACTCTTAAGGTAATTCATTCAGCTTCATATTAGCTATATATGCTTCAACTAAAATAAATTACCAGGAAAAAAAGCATTTGGACATTTATTACTGGAAAAATAAATGTCTGACCAAACACACGAAATTGCTACCGTAATGCCGGTCAAGAGAAAATGAGACCTAGATAATATCTATGGACAGGTTCACAGAATTGATTGCAAATGTCAGAGCACTATGCGAGTGCTAGACTGCACAGCTAGTGACGTACAATGAGTGACCTAGGAAAAACTTCGGATGTACACTGATTTACTCAAAACAAGTTGTCTCTCAATAAGGGAATGGCTCGCTGTAAGTGTAAAGCCACATTTAAACTAGATACGATTACAACATGACGACACAATACAGATGCGCGCAGTGTGGAAGAATACAAACCACACGATGATATGTTGTTGTCATTTCGTATCGTGTCTAGTGTAAATCCAGCTTTAGGTGGGGGGTGATATTGAGCTGTCTTTAAGTAATGCTTTAACATAATAATATTAATGGTAGACTGGTAAGGCGTATACTGTTATGAACTCTATGTACATCACAAACTAAAATAAAATAGTAACAAAAAAATAATATAACATGTGGTGGACGATGAGAGTTGCTTATACCGGGTTACCGGGTAGCTAGCACAGACACGAAGAGACCCTTAGGGGCGAAGAAAGTCATTGATCGAGTTCCTAGTCCACATATCAAGCGCCCTGAGCATCTTACATTAGATGGATATGTGCGCTATATAAAACTACACTATTATTATTATTATTATGAGAAAAAAAAATGTTTCAGATCATAAATAGATAAAATTGATATCAAATTACAATGTTAGTGATTTTTAATTGACTATATTGAAGTCATTGGATGCAGAAGCTAGGGTGAAGCATCAGCAGTGGCAGAGAAAGAAAGAAGTTGAAAGACTTTACTCAACAAACCCTTAATCTCCACAGTTAGGAGAAAGGAGCGGCAAGGAAAGTAATATTGAAGGAATTATCTTACACGATATGTTTAAAGATTACATAAAATTTATATTGATTTGGGAAATGGTTTTATATTACTAAAATAAATTCTGTTTTATTTATAAATTATAAGACATAGAATACTAAAAAAATACAAGCAACTACAACGTTGACTTGAGAAATTGCTATAATTACCTATAAAAAATCTCTATCTTATGTATATAATCTAAGTTTATTATAAATAATCAAGGAGAATCTATGTTTGATATGAAAAATCACATAACGTATTATTCCTTAAGCTTAATAATGAGAATTTGTATTAGAAAGTTCATCGATAGTACTAAGTGTATAATATATGACGTGCAGATACGTGTAGTGAGGACGTAAAGTTATAAACCATGAAATCTGATTGGCTAAAGCGGGGGCATGTTATTCTTTGATGCGTTGCAGGTTGACACAACCAGGGCAGACCATAACCTCATTAATGATGCTATTGCTAGCCTGAAGCTAGAGGTTATTTGAGAGACACTGTTAATACACGCTTAAATCATGGAGGCATTTTACCTCCATGCTTAAATATAGCAACATATATGTTATGGAGTATAGTAAATACGCAGCAGGGGATAATCAAGACAGACTTGCCTTAAAATTGCAGGGTCCTGGGTTCAAATCCTTAGAAGCACCAAGATGTTTTTTTCTAACATTTCACTCCCTACACCTTATTTGGTTATGAATGGAGGAAAATATTCTGGTTTCAGTGACGGATTCAAGGGGGATGGGGTCAGCCAGTAACACTCCGCCCCCCCCGCTCCCCAAAAAAACCTAAATTATTGTCAAAATATCTTTTAAAAATGGAGATAAAAAATGGGGATAATCAAGACAGACTTGCCTTAAAATTGCAGGGTCCTGGGATCAAATCCTTAGAAGCACCAAGATGTTTTTTTTCTAACATTTCACTCCCTACACCTTATTTGGTTATGAATGGAGGAAAATATTCTGGTTTCAGTGACGGATTCAAGGGGATGGGGTCAGCCAGTAAATTGCAGGGTCCTGGGATCAAATCCTTAGAAGCACCAAGATGTTTTTTTTTCTAACATTTCACTCCCTACACCTTATTTGGTTATGAATGGAGGAAAATATTCTGGTTTCAGTGATGGATGCAGGGAGAAGGATGGGGTCAGCCAGTAACACCCCCACCCCCAAAAAAAACCCCCAAATTATTGTCAAAATATTTTTAAAAAATGGAGATAAAAAAAAAATTATATTCAAATTTAAGTTTTAGAGTGCCAATTCCAGTGGCATAATCATCATAAATTTTCCTATCTTAGCTCCAACCATAGAGGGCTGAGGTGATGTATACCCCCATCTGTGAAAGTTCTGCCCTGGCCTGCTGTTTCAAATTCCTGGATTACCCACTGTGTTTTAATATATCCTCTTCTCCTTTGAATTTCTTAAGCACGATTCTAAGCACTATTGCAGTTAGTGTGGGAGGCTTAATGACTGTAAATTATATGGTATTAATACTGTGTTTTTTAAAATCAAATCTAATCCTAGTACCTAATCCCACTCTTTAAACTTGGGATGGCCGGCCACTGACTCTGAGGAGCTCATCCGACCTTTGACCGCTGTTTTATGTATAGCGAATCATGCTACAAGGCCTCTGTGCACCTCACATTATTACAGCACCCTCGTAATCTGATTAAACACCTGGAACACATACTAAGCTACCTGGGAAGCAATTCCATAATGCAGCTACAGTATCTAAGCATTAGGTTTAAGGCTAACAGGTAACCCACACACACCTGGGCAGAGACTGACAACTACCAGGTAAAATGCCCCACCTAAGGACACTAGGGAAA